AGTGTACAACTGCATACTGTAGGAAATCATAACATGGAATATTATAGTAAAACCTTGATCACACCCAGGACTATATTTTTGAAAGAGCCTTGCTTCTATTTAGGGACCTAAATAAGAGCTAGATTTTCAAGCTTTCAAAAACCAATGGTTTTCTTCGTGACTCTTCCTGGCTAGATGTTCTAGAGCCATCTAGAGATCTGGCCCATGGAGCCTCTCTATCTAAAGGCTGAGAGCAGACTAATGGAAGGTGGGGGAGCACAGGCTGATGCAGAATGTAGGACCCTTTGGCCCTCCTGGCAATGCTGTCCATGTGCCAGGCCCCCATCTCCAGACCCCGTGCTATGGCTGGATACACCATAGGCCAACCAGTTGCAGCAGCCACTGTGACCACTACTGTGCCCCAGACTAGATCCAGCCTGTGAAGAACCCTGCAGTCTGGATCCAACCCAGGTCTCCAAGTGAGTTTGACACCCCTGTTCTAGAGCAAAGCACCCAAAATCTGGCCACCCCTGTGAGTGCTTGGACCTTTCTAAAAATTGCAGACTTCTAGCCTAAGAACAGAACTGGCAATAAACAGGCATCATTTCAAAATGTCAGCATAGCCTTTCATTGGTTTTTGTCTGTTTTGTGTAAAACCTCTTCTGACTTGGAGGAAATGGGACTTCCTTAATGTTCCCCAGCCACTTAACAATGCAGCTAAATCGTCTTGTATCAGATTTTCTAATACTGGTTCTTCTGCTTTCTCTCCTGTTCAATTCTCCATCTTTTTTATTGTTTTAATTTTATTTGTGTGTGTGTGTTTGATTGTGCTGCTGCTTGCTGCTTTGGCTGCTATTGCTGATGCAAATTCAGGTGAAGATCTGGAAAGAAATGATGGATCCACAGCAAAACCCTACTTCATGTCAGCTAGCCTACACCGAATTCTGGGGAAGAAGGAGCTAAGCCCCAAGAAGGCACTGGGATAACATTAAAAAAAATCCTGACTTCAGAACAATATAATGACTTTTAAACAGAATGTGTATAAAGTAGGAAAAAGTGAAAACTGTAAATGATGCTTCTGGTCAATGGGAAATTCTTTTTCTTTTTTGCTTGTATCTTAAAAATATCTGCAATTTGCTAACATCCAACTAGATAAGGAAATGCTTAAACTAACAGCTGTGAAACAAGGCCACATTCTAGTTTATAGAGTGCCTATGAAAAAGGAAAGTGTAAATTTGAAGCATTTTTTATTTGTAGCTCAATAGAGTTTTATTAACTTTTATAACGCAGGTTGCTGTCTCAAATGACAACAGTTTTGATAACATTTCTTTTTATAACTGTATATTTGTAAAGGATATTCAGGCAATTTTTGAAAGCACTACAGTGTAATCTAATCAGCCATAAAAAGATAGATTGAGATCTGAGAGCTAACCAGCAGATGGGACTGAATTTGTAAATATGGTGCTATGGTTGTATTTTTACTGTACAAGCTGGTTCACAGCTGTTTAAACTGTGATTCTACATGCATTAGTGATTCCCTGCATAGAAAAACACATTGATATTTTTATCACTTCCATTACAAACTGTATATATTAAGAAAAGGGAGGTACCATGCAGGTTCAGTCTCACTGAGGGTAGCCAGAGTTGGCGACACTTGAAGCTGCTTATAGTGAGATCTGCTATAATGAAACTCCTTTAGGAATGGAAGTTATGTTTAAACAATGACCTCATTGACAGAGGGTTCCACTGTACTTGAAGGACATAGTTTATGATTCATGCAAACTTTCTATCTAAAGCAAGATGAAAAATGTATTGTCAGCTGATGTGGATGGGACAGGTCCTTGTCTTGGTGTCCCCTCCTCATAATAGTTCTCTGCTTTTGAGGCAAAGCTCCAACTGAAGTACTGAAAGGAAAAGCTCAATGCAGCTGTATTCCTTAGAGGCAGATCTTCACAGTCCTGAATAAGCTCCAAGGACTTCCTGTTTCCTGTGTCTATCCCAGAAGGGCTTTCTCTTGAATAATGCAAGGTTCACCTTGCCCCCAAGGGCTGTGTACACTATCTCTGCACTGTGGTCAGCTCCTGCTGGCCACAGAGTAATAGGCCAGGACTAAAAATCAAACCTGATCCTCCTACATGGTAAAGAGCACTCAGGATTTAAAGCAAGGAGCCAGACATGTGAAGTTTTGTGTGTGGGAAATCATTTACATTGCATAATTTTAATTTAAGGACTAGAGGCAGCACTGGTGTCATACGTGTTATCATTACACTAAGACCCCAGCTCTACAAAGCTTTCTTGCATGGAACTACCACTGAAGTCAACAATAGCTCCATCTATTCAGGGCTCCCAGGATGAACCCTTTCATTACATCATTACACATGAAGAGTAGTACAAAGTCTATATTACTAATATGGGCATGAGGAAAGAAGGTTATTTTAAAGGCTGTGTTACTGGGCCAAAAATACTTCAACCTATTCAAATGCTAAACTAGAAAAAATGTTCTATTTCAGCTGAACAGTTCAGAGTAGCGCCTGAGGAAGGCTTTCTAGGAGTCTGTGCCCCAAAGTTATTTTTCACTCCCTGCTGGACAGCTCCATTCCCAAAGTAAACCAGGAATCAAAGGTTAGAGCAGGGGCATCCAACTCATTTGGCTCCACAGGCTGGATCCAAACCATGGTACTTCTTGCAGGCTGGACAGCATCAGGGTGGTGGCTATTCAGTGCAGCTGCTACGGCTGCTGCATTGGTGTGACGCCATAACCCAAGGGGTGCCCCTTGCACCCTCTTTTCCCCAGCCACTGACTTTAGTTGCCAAGGATGACTGAAGACCCCAAATTTGGCAGCAGTCAAAGTAGGAAGCAAGCAGCAATGGCGTGCACTCCCTGGGTTCTGCAGCCATGGCAACAATCCCTGTTGGCCACTTGCAGGACATGCGGTATGGCTGCCATTTGAACAGTTCTAGGTGAGAGGAACACAACAGGTAGAAGAGGGATACACGGACAGGCTACACTTGTGAATGTAGAGGAAAGTTTGGTTATTGATTTTAGCCCAGAGCCTGAATCCAGGAACCAATTGATGATCAGTGAGTTATTTATTTGAACTAAAACTCCTGTGGAAGGGCAGGAGCATCAGAGATGTTGTTGGCAGGTGCTCTCATTCCCCCAGCTCACTTTAGAGTGGTACCTGCATCAGTTCTTTGCTATGGAATGGGGTGAGGAGTGAAATTTAGAACTTAAAAGAATTCAAGCCTGCACCAGAGTATCAGACTCAGCCCTGCAGGCCAGTTGAGGGAGATGAGGCCAGTTCATGGGCAGGATCAGGCCCACAGACCAGCCCCACACACTAGAGCCAGCACGCAGGGCCATCTGATGCAGGTACCATGCAGGGTGTGCCCCGGATCAGCCCTATATGCTCTGTGTAGTGTGCATACCGGATCCAGCCTACATGCAGTATGCACCAAACAGACTCTGAGTGCCGCTCGCAGCGTGTGGGGCCAGGGCTGTATGTGGCACACACAGCTGGTTGAAGACCCACAGGCAGTACCTTGGACTGGATCATGGGGCTCTGCTGGCCAGATCCAGTCCGCGAGCCATGTCTTTAATACTCCTGGTCTACATTTTCAAAAGTAATTAGCAATTTGGGGAGGCTTTCATTTTTGAGAGCCCATCCTGGGACATCTTAAACGGGTACTTAAAAGGCTGAGTACCCACCTCCTAAAGATCCAGCCTTTTTACAACAGGTCTCAAGCTTCTCATCATCCCTGTTGTTCTTCCCATGCTATCAGGTGCATAAGGCAGGAGTCTCATGTTGAGAAAGAAAAGCCGAAACACCAAACATGCTACTCTTTTTTGAAAATGTAGGCCTCAGTGAACGGTTTGAACTTCGTACGACCATGACCCTTCCATGACTTAAAAGGCTTAAGAAGGATCAAGCCCTTCCGTAAGGTGAAATATCATTGTAATGAGTTTATTATTTTGCACATAGAGAAACTGAATTAAGAGAGGTATAGTTCTGCAATGGTTGGGAGAGTTTTACTGGGTGCTCAAGTTAACGAGCATATTTCTGAGTGCAGTATACTTTTCATCCTATGAATGTAACCATAGAACTTAATAGGAATGTGACATAGTAAAAGTAGCAGTAATACAGTCATTTGACTGGAAGACTTTTGTAACAAACTATGCATTTGCTAGAAAAATTTCTAAGGGCAAAAGTTTTAAACTGTATTATTCAGTGTTTATATACAGTAAATATATATAAAATATACATAATTTTCCTCCATTCATTACTATTTTGTGAGAATTATTTAGACTATAAGGGATCAGTGTTCCTGAGAAGAAAATTTAAAAGCCATTTTCTTAGTGAAATAGTTAAGAGAACTGTGACACTACAAAGCAATATCACCTAGATTCTGCAGTTAATAAGTCAGCTGCACGCTGTTTTAAATGGTTTAAAATGGTAAATGGTAAATGAGGAAACTGAATATTTTGGAATGAATTAAGCAGAAATTACTACAGGTATTCAAAACAGAATAAATCACATTTATTTATGTGTTATAACATCAAAGGCTAAGTTGATGCAAATGACTGCTAACTTTGGACCGGATCCTGCTGACTTACACCCCAAGCAATCCCAGTTAAGTCACTGGATTTGGCCCTTTACTTTGGTATTTGCTTTAATAAAAAGATAAAACTTCCATACTTCCTCATGTCAGGAAGGCGAAATAATGGCCTAAGTATAATTCAGTAAGATCAAATATAATAGAGGTTTTGTTTCTTTACCTACTGAAGTTAATGGCAAAATTCCCATTGATTCTAGTGAAGCAGAGGCAAGCCCATATAGTGACAAAGGGGTGATTATTATTCCAACTTTGTTTACAGTGTATTTAAATGCCAAAATGTCCTGTATAGAAATATTTTGAAAAACCTTAGAGTGCTGTTGTGCTTTAAAAGTTCAGCAGGTGGCGTTATTACTTTTCTTATTGTACTGATTTGATCATTTACTCTGTGCCATTCCTCCTCCTAGTGGAAGATTTAGAAAGACATGATGGCTCTTCAGAAAGACGTTATTACATGAATAAATCCCTCTTGAAGATTTTGAACAAGCAGAATGTAGAAACCAAGAGACAGTAAAATATACCCACTGCCATAAGCATACAATCATGTTGATTTAGTCCTGTTTTGAGTCATTCTTTCCCCAGCAAGATATTCATTGTTGGTTTTTATTTGCATGTTTTATACCAAAGTTTATAATATGTGAAGCCATCAGCATTTGTAGTGGAATTGTTAAACAAAACAAAGAAACAAACAAGATGGGAACATTTTTATACTGAGATTTTTTTTTTCTTTTCTGAGTTGTATTTAGCTTTTGATTCTAGCAGTATGGGTGTTTTGAAGAAGCTGATTAGAGTTTTAAATATTAGCATTAAAAGGTTTGAAATGTTTTACTGTTATATATATTACTATAAGACAGTAAAAAGATTTCAGCTGCCACAATGTTCAGTCAAGAAAGAGACTCATTTTCAACATGCTACTAAAATCAATGGTTACAGAAAGATGTGGTATGACAGATTGTATTGCTGTTGTAGTGTAGAAGTCTCTCTTTAAACAGTTTCCAGTCACTCAGCCTGTACTACTGTGTCCTGTATGACAAAGTGCCTTACTGGCTATTATGATTACCCAGTTCATATTTTGAAGTTTACACACATCTTTTCAACCACAAAACAGAAATTGCTCAATAGAAAATACAAGACTCTCAGTTTACTTGAAATGAATCGGTACAAAATAAGCTGCAATTTAAATAAATTTGACATTTTTACTATATACTGCATCATGCACATGTCTCTGGTTGCTGTCGTCAGATTACTGAAAGTGCACCCTATGCTTCAAGATAAAGCATAAGACAGTGGTTCTGTTACAAGAAAATCATGTAAGAATGTTTGGTTCCTGTAGTAAACATTTTATAAATCTAATTTATGACATACTGAACTCTTTAATGGGAGCCCTATTCTGTCTTCAGCTACAAAGATAACTCTCCTTGTAAAGGTGGAAAGGAGGGTAGAATTTGGGCTCTTGTGATTTAAAATAGAAGAATGAAAAGGGAATCCAATAGGTATATATTACACTAGTGTAATATATATTTGTATGTTCATAAATGTAAAGTAGATGCTTCATTTTAAGACAGATTATTTACTCTTCTGGAAGTGTTTTATAAATGACCTTTAATTTTCTAACTTTTGATACAGATGATCAGTTTCCTTGTAATATATTGGTAATTTGTACTGCACTATGATGAAACTAGGAATATAACTGCTCTTCATATTTAAGTAATACTACTAGTGCTACTAATATAAAAACTAATTCACTCTGTTACTTTATGTTACAGAAAGGGTCCACAAGTATTTGTCCCAAATAGTTATTTGTCTAATCACAAAAAGACAACTCAACATTTGACAAAAAAATAAGTTCCTGTCTATTTCACTTATTATTACATTTATGTCCTTAATTTGATTTAATTTAATTTTGGAGACTATTATTTTCATGCAAAACCAAATTAACATGAGCACATGACAGTCTGAGCTCTAAAATATGTTTGCTTCTGCTGTGCAGAAATATGAGTAACATATTGTTTAAATATCTTTGATAACTAAAATGTTTACTATTTAATGAACTTTGTTGTTACTTATTGTTTTACAGCTCTTGGGGTCTGTTCTAATAAAGATTTAGATATAAAAGAAGAATATATTTGTGGTGTTACATTTATTTTGGTGGGGAACTGTAAATAAATACCTTTATGAAAACTCACTGTAAAAATACATTTTTTATTCAAATGTGTGCCATGCTACACAAAAGAGCATCTGTCTCGAACTCTGAGCACAGCCGATACTGTTAATACATCTCATTAAAGAAACCAACTCCAGCAATTACCTTCAAATAACACAACCTTAGCAGGAACATGAGTATAATAAACCTCACCAACAAAATCATTCCAGGAGTGATGCATCTCTACAACATGGTGACGAGGAATATTCTGCTCAGAACTGATTCTTAATACCTCTATTTAATATGGTAACATCTGGCTTAGAACGTACTTCTGGAAGCCTTTTGGCACTTTGTATAACTTAAAAAATATACACACTTAAAGGGACCAATATTCATAACGTTAAATTTGACACTAAAGTAAAAGGAGTGTTGTGCTAAAAACCCAGAGGTGATAGGGATATTTCTTATTATTGTTAGATTGCACTAGTGCACAGGGCTTTCAGTTGGGGGATTAAGCCCTGTGCTGTATAGATATATAACAAAAAGGTGGTCCCTACCCTGCAGACCTTCCAACCTAATTGAAGACCATAAAAGGCCCTTTCTGAGAGTGGTTCTTTCCTTTAATGAAGGTAGGCACCGGGGGGCAGGGGAGAGGAAATGTGGGAAATTTTTTTGAAAAAAAAAACAAACTTCTGAGTTGTGGATATAAGCCCTAGTATTTCCATGCTTTGACATGAGTGTATCCCTGCACCTGCTTGGAGATCAGAAGAAAGCATCCTTACACATAAGGTGCTCTGGCTTTAGAATGAGCCACAGGCAAGAAGAATGTAACATCTCTAGGCAGCAAGACCCACCCATTATTGAGGCTCTGCTGCTATCACAGGAGATTACTTCAAGAGTTCCTGGAATCTGGTAGGCACAAGAAAAAGAATCCACTATGAAGTCTAGTATTGAGCATGCTGATCTAAGGGACCATTTCAGTACTTAGCTGGTAGACAGTATGATTGCTAGTATGAAAACACCAATGCTAATTGCAGGTATATTGAAGCTTTACTGAGACTAAGGCAGGAGATTACCAGTAGGGCTGTGCAAACCTTCGACTTAATATTCAATTCGACAAATATTCGACATATTTGACCTTGAAAA